TGTGTTCTTGCCAACAGTGAGTTCTGTCATTCCTTTTTAATCTTTGTAAATTATATTGGAGAAAGTGGTATGCTATTCAAATTCCCCTTTCTTTGTTACTGAGACAATACAATTTTTTCATGTTTACTGGCTACTTGGATTTCTCCTTTTATGTATTTTTCTTTGCACGTTTCCCCCATCCTTTGCATTTTTTCTAGTAAAATATTTTTATTTTTCTTACTGCTTTTTAAGTTTTCTTTTTAGCACCAGGTCTTACTCTGTTGCCCAGGCTGAAGTGCAGTGGCACAATCATGGTTCACTGTAGCCTCAAATTCCTGGGCTCAAGTAGTCCCCCTACCTCAGCCTCCTGAGTAGCCAAGTAGCTGAGACTTCAGGTTTGTGCCAGCATGCCTGACTTTGTTTGTTTGTTTGTTTGTTTGTTTGTTTGTTTGTTTGTAGAGACATGATCTTGCCATGTTGCCTAGGCTGGCCTCGAACTCCTGGGCTCAAGCAACCCTCCTGCCTCAGCCTCCCTAAGTGCTGGTATTACAGGCGTGAACCACCATGCCTAGCCTGCTCTGTGTTTATGTGTTAAGGATAGTGAGTCTTATTGCAATTGTTTCTAGTTTTCTCATTAACTTTATTTATTGTTTGTGCAGAAATTTTTAATTTTCATATAATTGATTCTATAAATCTGTTTCCTTATTATTCTACTTTGATATTATTCATACAAATATTTTCTCTTACCACCAAGATTATATAAGTAGTCTCCCATATGTCTTTAGTTCCTCTATCATTACTCTCTTTTCAAAAAATGTTTTAATCTTTTAATGCAGCAGTTCCCAAACATGATTACACATCAGCATTGCTTGCAGAGTTTCTTTAAATGCTCAGGCTTTAAGAATGATTCACAATTTGGGGGGGTTGAGACCTGAGCAGGAATAGTTTTTAAAGCACCAACAGATAATTCTGATGCCCCCTCCTTTATTAAGAAACACTATTTTAATCCTTCTAATTTATGTTGATGTCATTTTTCCAAATTATTTCAACACATATGTTAAATAAATCATGTCATTAATATGAAATGCTACCTTCATCCTAGTTGATAAGTTCCATGAGAACAGATACCATGCCTGTTTTCACTGACCATGGCATCTCTAGAACTGGAAGAGTGTCTGCGACACAACTAGTGTTCAATAAATACTAATAGAATAAATAAATAACATCTGACAACACAAGTCTCCAATCTCAAACTGTCTAATCTTCTTTTCAGTATTTTCTTGGCCATTACACCAATAAAACTGATGTTAATGATGACCCTAAGTTATCAAAAACATTGCATTATGCCCAGTACACTCCATTTAAAGTGGCCAGAAAATGTATTAGAGGGCTCCATTAAGGGAAGTCAAAATAATAATGTTGGCCAGGTTTAACAAGTATGAGAATTATGATCAAATTCTCAGTAAAGGAATTAGACAGCAATGACCAAGAAACTACGGTGATTTGGGTTCCTCTAGCTCTTAAGGTTCCTCAGTTAGCTCCAGAGACTAACTCAGAAGCTTCTTTGAGCTGAGGACAGACTCACACATGACCTCTTCCATAAGAACACTGAAATAAGGAATCAGTTGACCCGGATTTTAGTCCTATTTCTAGGATAAACTCCTACCTGCTTGACCTTGGGCATGTCACTTAACCTCTAGAGGTAAGGCTAAATGTTTTCTAAGGATCTCTTCAGGTCTAAATTTCCACATGAAGACCCAAACAGATTAACACAGGGCAGGGTTTCCAAGGACAACGTGAAATTACCTCCACAGAACAGGGTCCCAGTACCACCCCAGACTATAGGAAAATAATAGTGATAATAGTAGTAATAACAGCTATTGCAAAATTTTACTGAGCATTTATTATATGCTAAACGATATTCCAAATGTCTTACTACTATTTTTAAAAAGGCACATATATATATGGCACTTACTATGTTCCAAGTACTTCACATATATTAACATAATTCATCTTCATAACAAGCCTATAAGGTGAGTTCTATTATTCTTTCCCTTTTTACAAAATTGATATATAATAATTGTACATATCTGGGAGGTACATGTGATATTTTGATATATGTATACAACATACATTATGTTGATCAATTCAGGGTCATTGGGCTATCCATTTATCTTTTCTTTGTGTTGGGAACATTCCAATTCTTCTCTTCTAGCCATTTTGAAATATACAATAAATTATTGTTAACTGTAGTCTTCCTACTGTACTATCGAATATTAGAACTTATTCCTTCTGTCTAACTGTAGTTTTGTACCCCTTAACCAACTTCTCTTCATCTTCTACCCCTCATCCTTCCCAGATACTGGTAAGCACCATTCTACTCCCTCCCTCATGAGATTAACTTTTTTGCTCCCACATATGAATAATGACATGCATTATTTGTCTTTCTGTACCTGGCTTATTTCACATAATGACCTTCAGTTCCATTCATGTTGCTTCAAATGACAGGATTTCGTTCTTTTTATGATTGAATAGTATTTCACTGTGTATATATACCACATTTTCTTTATCCATCCATCTACTGATGGGCACTCAGGCTGATTTCATATCTTACCTATTGTGAATAGTGCTGCAATAAACATGGGAGTGCAGATATCTCTTCAACATACTGATTTCATTTCTTTTGGATATATATCCGGCAGTAGAATGAGTTCTACTATTTTACACGTTTTACAAAGGAGAAAATTGAGACACAGAGGGGTTAAGTGACTTGCCCAAGACCTCACAGCTATCAAATGACAGAACCAATGGAGTAGAACCCAGACCAACACAGTTAACTATTATACCATACTGCTTCCAAACTATCTTTGTACTGTGCTTGTTACTTCAGAGTTGCCTAAAACAAAGGATAAGCTACAGGTATTCAAAGAGCTTACTTATGCAGAACACTCCACTCTTCACTAATGCTAGAAAAATGAGATTTCACTTCAATGTAATTTAAAGCAGATCAGATTTCAGAGCCTGAGCTTACAAAATATTATTCACTAAGAAAATATAATATTTTGATTAAGAATTGTTAAACATTAAAATATTTTATTATTAAATAAATCATTAACTACTAATGACATTATGCATCATTAGGAACAAAACTTTAGATCCCCACCTGCACAAACTCCAATTCCATACTTTCAAAACTGTCCTTGAAATATAGACTGACAGCAAGCAGATGTCTCAACCCCAATAGGTCATCCAAACTGAGTACACTAATTCCCACCATTATGGTGCCCATCAGCTGCCTCTGATGTTCCCTATCCCAGAGAGTGGCACCTCTGGCCCCCAGGGACCCAGGCTGGCTGTTAATCCGTGCCCAATTCTTGCCACATTCAGTCACAGAACATTTCTAGAAGTCATCCCATTCTCTCTAACCTCCCTGCTCATGCTTTTGCTCAGACCCTCACCATCTCTCCCCTAAACCACTGTTCCAGAAACCTCCTGACTGACTCCCAGCTTTCATCATCTCCAGCTCAGCAGTGCTGCCAAAGTAATCTTTCTAAAACAAAATCTGATTATGTGACTTCCCTGTTTAGAATCTTTGTCTTCAGGATAAAGTGTAAAATCCTTCCTAGAACATACAAGACTCTTTATTTTCTGGCCTCCAACTACCTTCCCTGCTTCGTCTGAGGTCGTGCCCCTACACATCTCACATGAGGCAAACAGAGCAACTTGGAACTTCCCAAACAGTGCCGCTCTGTCTGCCCAGAATACAACTCTCTCACTTGCCCATCTGGCAAACTCCTACTCATTTTTTTTAGATCAGCTCAAAACTCAGTTTATTACGCTTTTCTCTGGGCTTCCAATCTGCAACTCTCTCAATTGTAACACATATTCAACGTGACATAATTATTTATTTCCATGTCTGTCTTTCCCAGATGACAAGAAACACTTTAGCGTTCTGAGTCTTATTCATGTCTGTATTTCATTTGTTGAATGAAAGAATGGCTCAGGATTGAAGCAAGAATATCCAAACTGCTCTTGATAAATGCTCATTGTATGAGTCAAAGCAGGCATACAAGTCAAGTCCCATTTCAACAAATGACTTTAAATTGACAGCCCTTGTCCATCAAAACTACTTGTTACATCTGTATGCTTACATATTTGAAGTCATAACCAATACAATGAAACATTTAAAAATTACATTAGAACACCAACTAACCCACCTGTTGAATATTTCCAGATATTCAAGATATTTCATTCTATTCCATCTAAGTGGTCCTTAGCCTTTTGTGGGTCACAGATCAGTTTTAGTAGCGGCTGTCTATCATTTCTTAAATCCACACTCCATTTTGATAACACAAAAATCCCACACATCCCTAAAGATTTGAAACTCTCCAGAAGGCTACAATCCTCAACCTCACCAAAAATAAAAAAATAACTTTGTATGTGGTAGGAATTTACAGGTTCACAAGAGATATATTCCATCAGCCAAGATACCACTGAACTTTGCTCTCAGTTAGCTCATATTATTAAAATAGGCATTTTCCTTCTATCACCAAATATAAACATTATAACATTAAATATGCTTTTCCAAACTGCATAAATCCCAAGAAGGTTTTTATCAGGAAGAGGAAGGTGGAAAGGTACTGATATCTGTCTCCCCCGATTCTCCCCTTGGAGAATCTTATGATAGAAATCTGCTAGAAACAAATAAAAAACACAAATAGAAAACAAATATCCCCCATTTCTTCACATATAACCCCCATGAGCACATGTTTACATGATGGGAGTTATTTTAAATGTTTTTTGGCATATTTTCCTATGCTTTCCCCAACCCCACTTTAAAATAACTTGAACTTCTAGGTAGCAGCAACTACTTCTAAACTAATAATGTCCTTTGTCCTTGCAAAGACAAAGGGTTAAAGAAACAGCTGGCTGCCTGCCGCTGGCTTGAGGTAGAGGGTTAGGTGGGGGTGGAGAATAGAATAGGAAGAAAAACCAGGTAGAGAAATAAGTGCTAATTTCTTACCCTGCCACATGGCCATCTTGATCCTATCTTCTCCCACGATGGGGTCACAGGCTCAGAGTTTCACAGAGCCCCTCAGTTTTACTGGGAGATTTGATGTAAAGGCAGCTTTGTAGTTCTGCTTACTGCAAGATGGTAAAGTCCCACACCTGAAAATGTAAACAGAAAAATGAATACCTAGAAGGAAAAAAAAATCATTTTAAATGCTTGAAAATGTTCTCCTGCCCCTCTCTGAAGCTCCCTTTCAAAAGATATGCAGATATGTGTAGTGTCAAGTTTCCCCCTAAACAGCAAGATATGGCTGAAGAAAGAGAGAACTAGGGGATTTGGAGTCAGTTAATGTTGTCACTCTGTGCTGTACAATTCTGCATGAATCACTGGCGCTTCAGTAAAGGGGGTTCTGAATCTCAATGGATGCGTGTGTGGATGAGATCACCATTAAGTATCTTTCCTATCTTGTAGTTCCACACTTTGGGGACTGAAGAGCAACATTAGTATCCAATGCCCTACTCAAACCCCAAAATACCCAACTTGACATTGATTAATTGGTAGAAAGCCGAGCATGGTAGTTCATGTCTGTAATCCCAGCATTTTGGGAGGCCGAGGCAGGAGGATTGCTTGAGCCCAGGAGTTCAAGACCAGCCTAGGCAATATAGCAAGACTTCCTCTCTCAAAAAAAAAAAAAAAAAAAAAATCAAAAAATTATCCAGGCATGACAGTAAGCACCTGTTGTACCACCTACTTGGGAGGCTGAGGCAGAAGGATTGCCTGAGCCCCAGAGATGGCTGTGATGAGCCATGATTGCACCACTGCACTTCAGCCTGGGCAACAGAGACCCCAACTCAAAAAAAAAAGCAAAAGAACTAAATAGTCACAAAATTTGCTCTCACTTCTACCAATTTTTTTTTTTTTTTTTTTTTTTTTTTTTGAGTTGGAATCTTTGTCATCCAGGCTGGAGTGTAGTGGCATGCTCACAAACCACCACAGCCTCAACTTCCTAGACTCACGGGATCCTTCCACCTCAGCCTCCCAAGTAGCTGGGACTAAAGGTGCTGGCTGCCCCTCCTGGGCAATACTTAAAGTTTTGACATAGATCTTGCGTAGGAAGGAAAAAAAAGAAAGAAAGCATAATAAAAAGTGAAGAGTGATCATACCCTTTGGCTGGTGGTGCTTCCTCCCTGTTTCATTATATTTTTCCACACTTTGCAAATTTCCTAAACTGAGCATAAATTGCTTTTATAATTAGAAATGAACCAAAGAAGAATATAGAAACAGAGTACCAATCTAAGGAAAACCAAATTAATTCAGCTAATTCCTGTATTAAGACTTCAAATCCAGTCTGAGGACAATACTATTTGCAGAGATATGAAAAGAGCCAGGAATGGAGCTAGGAAAAAAATATGAAAGCTCTGATTTCTTAGTTTGATTAAGAGTTAGTTTAACACTCAGCTTGCTCATTTAAACAAGTTGTCAGTTAATAAATTAGTTTTCTTTACTTAGCATACAAGCCAATCTGCATTCTCTAAGAAAAAATCTTTACCTTTTTGTCCTGGTGAACATCAAAGTAGACCTCTATTTCCATAGCTTTTATAAAAACAACACCTTCACCCCCCAAAGTGAAAGCGCTAAAGAACAAACACTGAAGGCTAATACTACTAATGTGAGAACCACTTTGGCCTTCTTTAATGACAAAAGGGTTGCTAATGTATACACCAGTTCCCAAAACATCAATAGCGAAAAGAGTGCTTTGGATAAGGAAAGGTTTGTGAAGTCCAAGAAAACTAGAAACTCACAAACTCTCAGAATGAATTCAACAGGAAAAAAAAAAAAAAACGCTCCGATGACTTATCTGGAACCTGGGATAGCTTGTTTTTGTTCGCCTTTTTTTCTTCTCCTGTTTCGAGTGCAGCTAAGAAGTAATGACCCGCACATCGTGGGACTAGACGAAAGTTAACATCTCTGAAGTTAAACCGGAATAGTTGCTGGAATATGTATGGACTTTATGTCAAGCAGATTCGAACTGAGTTTTTATGCTCCCCACTTCTGGATTTCCCTCACTTACTCAGGGCAGCTTCCACTGACGTTATCACACGGGCACAAGCACAACTTCACTTGGAACTCCAGGCAACTGATTTGCTCTGAAATGTTAAGAAAGGCAAAAACGCGCGTCAACTTGAGTAAAGGCAAAGCTTTCTCCTGTCGGGTAAAGGCGCTCCAGAACAAGGCTGGAAAGTCTGGAGAGAAACAAGCTACGCGCTGTAAGTGGCAAAAGGAAAACGCACAGCAACTACTTTTCCAAGAGCTCGGACTGAACTTCGCTAAGACCCTGCGGCAACTCCAGAGCCGGAGGGAGAAGAACGGGGCCTTGACTGAGCTTTACCAGCAAAAGCCAGCCTAGCCCAGTCCTGGAAGGAGACGCAGGCAGCTCACCACCCCGATTCAAAAGCGGGACGGGCTTGGCGCCGCTCCGCAAGGAAACTTCGCTTGGGCAGCTCAGGGACCCTTCTGGGAGAACAGGGCTGGGCTCCCGGGAAGATGCCGCCCGCACTGGCTAGAACTAGCCTGTCTACCTCCTCCGAGAACCGGGCGGCGGCGACCGGGCACTGGGAACCCCCATCTCCGGGGAGCCGAGCCAGCGGGGTTGCGCTTCCTCTGTGTCGCTGCGCTCAGGGGGTGCTCCGGGGGTGGGCCGGGGGCCAGCGGCCCGCGAAGGACCTACTGGGAAAGGGACAGCCCATTTGCTTTTACCTGTCGCCGAGGTCAGGAGCAGCGGAGCCCGTGTCCGCCGCCGGTGGGCAGGGCGCTCGTCGGCTCTGGCGTCCAGGACACTAAGTTGAGCTAGTGCCCCACGTAGCCGGCAGAGCTTCATTCACACAGCCCAGCCAGGGAGGAGGGGGAGCGGAGCGGGCGCGCGGCTCATGTGACAGGCGCCTTGCGAGTATCGGCTCAGCCCCCGGCGTCTGCGCGTGCGCGCCACGGCGGGCCCTCACTTGGCACCTCTGCCCAGCGGGGGAGGTGGGGGCTCCGGCCGGGGAGGAGCTGCTGGGAGGAGTTTCAGCGTGCGCAACCGCAGTAGGTCGGCCCTGCTTGCTGCCATATTTAATAAGGGCTGGGCGGATCCTAACCCATGAGGGGCGTGTCAGCTGGCTTTGAAAAAGCAGTATCCCATGATGTTTCCCTGTTTCCAGCATGCAGTAACTTTTTTTGCTTTTGTCTTTAGAATGAAACTGTTTATCCTGAGCTTCCGACTCACAGAGTAGTTGCAAAAATTTAACACTAATAACATTAGATCACATATTTTGAACTTCTTATTATATGCCAGGCACTGTTCTAAGCCCTTTACTTTTTTCATTCGCATTAATGCTCACAGTAACTCCATGGGAGTATGTACCATTATTTCTCTATTTTTATTTATAAGAACACAGAGACACAGAAAGGTTAAAAAACTTGTCCAAGCTTACATAATAGCAGGAATAGGAATCAATCGTAATAATGCTTCTAATAGCCAACTTGATTCTCATAGCAACACTGGAAAATCTATACTGCAGTTATCAATACTGTATCATCTCCATTTTAATCATTACAAATCAGAGGCTCAGAAAAGCAAAATTCACAGTATTAGTCACTGGTAGAACTGAGAATCCAACCTAGTCTATCTGACTCCAAAGCCCTTACCCCAGGGCTGAAAGACACAGCCCCATGTTTTACAGAAGAGAAAACTTGGGCCAATAGAGTGTATTGACTTAACATGATCTGGCTAGTTAGTTATTGGCAGAACTGAGACTGGAATCCATATAATCAATCCAGATAATATAACTAGAACCCAGGTACTCTACTGTAGTGACCAATTTTGAATGCTTACTTTGGGTCAGAGGCACAAAACCAGTATCCTACCCTAATCAGCGTAAATCCACCAGGGACAAATCTGTAATCCAACATAGGCTTCAACCCATTGCAATAAAGGAGACTGAGCACCAGAGAAACTGTGGGTGTCTCACCAAACAAAGAAAAAGATAGACTCATTATAAGATTTGGGAGAAGGACAGAATTTAGGTGAATTTTAAACAAAGCAGCGTTTTGGTAAGCTCAAAGCAAAGCAGGACTGTGTTACCTGGGGTCACCTTCAGGTCTGGACTGTGATGTGAACCTAGAGTTCTGTTTCCATGAGAACCACAAAATAAAGATAGATATGGAATGTGTGTCCAGATACCCCTTATCTGAAGCTCTGCACCTGGGTTAGAAATTAAGGCTGCTTCTCTGTGTCAAAGAAACTTATGTCCTTCAGACAAATGTGGGATGTTTTATTCTTACTGATATGATTTCAAGCAGAAAAGTTTCTGATAATTTATGATTTTACAGAACAAAGTTTCTCCCTGAATAAAAAAGTAGCGGTCATTCAAATAAGAACACTGTTACAACTTTACAGCTGCAGCTTTCTTTGGGGAAATATTGTCCCCTGTTAAATTTGTAGCTGGCTTTATCTGTGTGTTATTCCAGCCTGATGAGTGGCTGGATTTTTGCTTTCTCTGCCCAAAATAATTTTTATTTTCTCACTTAGTAACATTTAGTCCCTCCCTTCAGGTACCCATAGTGTGTGGGATAGTCACAGGTGACCAGAAAGAATCAGGGCAGTGCCCTAGTAAAGGTAAATCGAAGTAGTGGTAACACCTGCCACAAAGGTGCACAGACAGGAAGTTATATGTAAGGACCTGTGAATAGTCCTATGTGGTTGAAGCTTAGGGAAGTATAGGGGAATTGTGGGAGATATAACCAAAAGGTAAATATGGGCCCAATTTTGGAGGATTCTGAATATTGGACTAAGATTTGTACTTAATTCGGAAAATGACTGAGAAAGAATTTAGGTTTTTGACCAAGGCAATCCCTTTTATGAAACTCTTCTTTAGGAAGGTGAATCAGAGAGAGAGGGTGGGATTGGCAGTTGAGGGAAACTGCCAGGGGAGGGAGGGACACACCTCATCAACAAGGGTAACTCCATAATGAATATTCGTATACCTAACCGTGAATTGTACCCCACATCTTTAAAATAAAAGGAAAAAAAGAAGGTGAATCTTGAGTGATTGCACAGGAGACGTTTGTTTGTTTGCTTTCTTTTTTTCTGTCATAGCAGTAGAAGAAAGCGGAGATTATTTGTAGGTTGAGCAGAAAGAGCCACTTATGAAATAGAAATTGAAGAGGCAAGAAAAGGAGGGGATAAGAACTGTAACTGAGTAAAAAAAATACTTGGGGAGATAGAAATGAGATTCAAAATACAAGCTAATCTTGGAAAAGATGGCTCTTTCTCTAATACGGAGAAAAAAAGAGTTGAAGGACAGCAATCTGGTTGAAAGCAGATTTTTCATGAGGCTTCCTCTGTACAGAACGAACATACTGACTTTACTTGGAGTACATACAGGTTTATTTGGGAGAGCTAAGGCGGGGGTGGGGGAGAAGGGAGTTGAGGGAGAAGAGGTATTGTCAAGTATGAGAGGGCTGCAGTACACCTATATTGCCACTTGATGTCGCCACTGACTGCTGACAGCTTGGAGGGCTCCAGTTTGAGACCACAGTTCCAATAAAAAATAAAAGAACGAGAACATTTTATCTTTTGTGAATTTCAAAACAAAACAGTTATGAGCATGGGCGCTGAAGCCAGGCTGCCTGGGCTCAAAACCAACCATACTTAGCCACTTACTAGCTGTGCCACCTCGTTCAAGTTATCTAATTTAACTGTTTCAGTTTTCTTTTCTGTAAAATGGGACAAGAGGATTAAATGTATTAATATACATATACGTATGTAGAATAGTTAGAGCAGATTAAGCACTCGATAAATGTTAACTAGTATTGCTATTGATTGATGATGATGAACAGGTCCCTTCGGTCAATGGATCCCCAAGTTTTTCAGGAGCTTTTTGTGTGGTGAGTATAAACGCCTATACAATGACTTCCCAAGTGAAATGGTTAGAGCATGGTGCTAATAAGGCAACATTAACAGTTCAATCAAGAAGTATACATTCTGTTAACTCATTTTCTTTCCCATGGTTCAGACCACACTCCCACATGTATGTACACATGGTCACAAGTGGGTTTGGCTGAGAGAGTGAAAATAAATCAACATCAGCAAGTCCTCTGCTCTCCTCTCCCTCCCTAAGAAAAAATTGAAAAGGTATTCCTACCCCACTTCCCATGATGGTCAACAGACTATTAGGTCAAGAGCCATTTCAGATCTTGCAAAGCAAAGAGTAAATACAATGTGATCCTAAAAGTCAATTATTAAAACAATAAAACAGTGATTTTCCCTATATAATAAAAGGTAGCACTTGAGAGTTTTGCAAAAGAAAATCCTTCAGAGCAATAGATCACCTAAATTATGTCTAAAGCAGTTTATCTTTCATTTTTAAATTGGCATTGCAAATAAAGACTGAAATAGTTACATGTAGAATAGTAAGTGAATGTATCCAGTACTGTTCTTATTTCTTTGTTCCACATTGTGTTGAACTCTTATTAGTGTGCCAGCCACTCTGCTAGCCCCTAGGGATACTAGTTTTAAAGTGAAATACCTGGGTTGCCCAAGAAATGCCTGGGAAGTCATTTTTAAAAAAGGTAGAATAAAAGAAAAATGAACAAAGTTCTCTAGCTCAGGGGATCTATCGAGACAGTAGGTTGAGAAATTCTGATAACAGAGTGATCAAAAGCATTTGTAATTGCCCTGAACCTGGAGAGCTGAGTATCAAAATAAACAAATGGCTTCTATATGAATAATGGATACCTAATCTCATAATTGGAGAGCTACTAATGAAAGCTACAATGTGATATCATTGACAAATAATACAAATATTGATAATACATTGTTTTGATAAAGCAGGGGTTGGGAGTAAGTCCTCTCATACATTTCTGGTGGGAGTGCAATTAGTCCATTGAGGGCAATTTTGTAATAACTATAAAAATTACAAATAGCCGGGCTCGGTGGCTCGGCCTGTAATCCCGCACCCTTGGGAGGCTGAGGTGAGTGGATTGCCTGAGCCCGCGGGTTCGAGACCTGCCTGGGCAACTTGAGGAGACCTCATCTCTACAACAAATCAAAAACTAGCCGGGGGTGGTAGCGCGCGCCTGTAGTTCCAGCTACTGGGAAGGCTGAGGCAGAAGGATCGCCGGAGCCCAGCAGGTCGAGGCTGCGGTGACCGGGAGCGGCCACTGGGCTCCGGTCTGGGCGACAGAGTGAGACTCCAACTAAAAAAAAAAAAAATTACAAATACAATGGGGGACCCCCAAAGTGGAGGTCCCCCACTTTGACAATTTGTGACCATTTATTTATACAAAATTGTGTATTTATTCTTACACGTTTAAACTTCAGTCACCTTCAAAGGACTCTCCGTATGATGCAATACACCTATCTAGATGCCTTTTCCACTGCTCAAAACAGTTTTTGAACTCGTCAATTTTGATGCCGTTTAATGCTTCTGCCATTTTTTGTTTCACCTCTTCCCCATCGGCAAAATGTTTCCCTTTGAGGACTTTTTAAATCTGAGGAAACAAAAAAAACTGGGGCAAGATCAGGTGAACAGGGACTGTGGGGCACAGGAATCATGCCGTTCTTAGTCAAAAACTGCTGAACATTCAACGTGGTGTGGGCAGGTGGACTCGTAAACCACCCGTCATGAAATGGGCAAATGCATTGAAAGAATCTCCAAAAAAAATTCACTGAAGACAAATGCAGAATCTCACAACACCAGCTGGTACACTAATGCCAATGGGTTCCTAGAACACTTACCTAGCAGGGGAAGCCTGTGCTACAAGAGGCCCACTCTCCAAAAAAATAATTCCAGGTTTTTGGGGGTCCCCCCTTGTATGTAAGACTTTGAGTCCAAAATTCTATTTTTAGGGATTTCTCATCTACTTATGTTTCCATAGATTTAAAATGTTATATG